TAAGATAATAATATAATTAAATTCATGTTTTCTCCACCTTTTTGGGGAATTGACTGCAAAACTGTTTACTCATAACACAGAAGCTCTTGTAAATATTCTATAATTTTACATCTTTCAGAGACAGAATTTGGTTAATGTGGCTACCTGTAGGCTAGAAACTCCTGCTTCCCATACTAGGGCATTCAGCCAGTACAGAAGAATTAAGTCCTACCAGGCACTGAAGAGATATGGAATATTAAAGACAGTAGCAGAAAATGAGGAATAGAATAGGCTAATAAATACTCAGGAGTGAAATAGTTTTTGTTTTGTCTTGGAAAAAGTTTTTATGCTTTTTTTCTTTGCTGCTCACAAGCATGAAGTAAAGCATGAGAGAGATGCACATAATCTTTAATACTAGCTAGAAAAAGAGGGGAAAATATTTTGAGAAATGTAACATTGTGGCTTAAGTGAAAATGCTTACACCTAGTTGGTCTGTTTGTAAGGCCTTAGGCAATTTACTTAGTGGAGTTTTTGTGGGGCTGCATGGAAAAAAAATCCAGATGTTTAATATAATCCAAAACAAAAATAGACACTCCATGATTAATGAAAGCTACAGGAGAGATTTTCCAGGGATTGTGAAACCATGTTCCTTTTACAGTTAAATCCATTGTATCTGCCAGGTATTATCAAAGAATGGAAGATTCATTTAAATTGCTAAAACTGAGATAAAATAGAATATTTATACAGAATTGTCTAAGTGTCATTATTTAAGCTTATCACCACCATATAAATAAATTCATGCTTTTGGGTGTTCTGAAGTCCCACCTGTGGGATTATAGCTGAGGAAAACTACATCAGGGGATTTAGTTACATATCCAGATGAATTTAATTCTGTGATGAAGCTGAGAGACCCATGGCTAAACATTGCTGTTTCTTGCAAGTTAAGCATACCCATAGCTCCTTTTACCTTTGGATATCCTAATTTACACTTACATGTCTTGTGTTTCCTAACACATGTGAAGACTTTGTCAGAAGCTTTTGGTATCTGAACCTATGGAGACCTATCACACCAGGCATATACAAACAACTAAAGAAAAGGAGGGGAAAAAAATAATAATAATAATAAAAAAATATTTTTTGCTCCAGAGAACAAGACATCAAGGTGCATGGGATTTGGTTATCTAGGCATTGGCACCAAGTGCCATTTGAGGTGTATGAGGGCAACTGCAACATCTAGGTTGTACAACACAGTTCTTAGAGCAGATGGACATCTTTTTGAAAGGGTAGATCAGCTATCACACAGCACCTTCAGTGGCACCAAAGACAGTCGGATGCTACAGATAACCATATTAGCCAAATTCTATCTCTGAAAGATGCAAAATTATGGAATATTTACAAAAGCAAGTGTCACTTTAGGTCCTAGGAGTACCCCTCAAAGTCTCCCCAGGTCTGTAACAAGAGCTTAGAAAGCTGACTGGCTTCTAGGTATACATAGGCAACACAGGGTGGAAGATAAATCATGGAACAGGGAAAGAAGACTGAATAAAAGATAAAGACATGAGTGTCTCAATAAATAAAAAATTTTGCTTAGCTGCCAGACTGATGCATGATCACATTGGTTTTTAGGTACAAACTCAGTGTGTGATAACTTGCCTTTAGAAGAGACGTTTTTAAACCAAGGCATTACGTTTACTAGGCTATCTTGCTAGTGTTAAATTTTGTGTGACTATCACACTTGCTGATTAAGGCCAAAATAATGCATGTTGCAGAATAACAGAATTATTGAGGCCAGAAAAAACCTCTGAGATCATCAAGTCCAGCCCATGACCTAACACCACCACATCACTAAGTGCCACATCCGGTCTTTCCTTAAAAACCTGCAGGGATGGTGATTGTTACAGGCTTTTATGTGGTACAGGAAGTCTTCTAATTTAAGGGAAGATTTCAGAGAAAGGTGGAAGACATTTGAAATTATAGTAATTGAGAAACTTAGATTGATGATGCTGAAGAACTACGGCTTGCAAGAAACTTCATTTTTAAACATGAAGAACCACAGAATAAACCTTACATGAAATTTCATGCAAAGATGAAGGGGGACAAATTGACTCAGAAGTGTAAGACTGTGCAATTCACCTAAGGACAGAAGTCACTAAATCACAGTAGATGCTTTAATTTTTAGCTAATCTGACTAGATATAGAAGTATATGTTTTGTTGGTATTTAACTATGTATGTGATAAATACAAACAATTTAAGCTTTTTTTTGTAAAGATAAAGAAAAGCAAATCTAGAAATACAATCCCTTTTTATTATTTCATATGAACAAAATGTTGCTTGATGGCTTTGCAAAGGACAGTCCCCAGAGGCTTTTTTTTTTTTTTTTTCTGTGGGTCAGTGAATCATTAATTATTCCATAGCATTGATTCTGGTGCTCTCAGTGGGTGGCAGTTTTCCCATTTGTAGTAGATCCAGACATTATGTTTCCCTTAGTGGCAGAAAAATTGCATGATGGATCTGCTTCATATTAAGTTTTGATTAAACACAGGCGCTTGTGATAATTTTGGTTACAGTTTAGTTACTCTTCACAAAAGTTACATTTTTTTATCTTACAAATGGAGAAAAACTAGTTGTTTCACTGCATGCTATAACCTAAGAATACATGTTCTGATAATTAGAGTAAGGTTTCTTTGATAGTTCAGTTCATGTTATGTCACCCTGTTAAGCATAACTTCTTATTAAAAGTGCAGTATTACTCACGGTGGACAAAACAGTGCTCAGGTCCTGAGGATTATTGCATATAATATTGCATATTATATTGCATATGAGTCTCTGTTTTGGAACAAGACATCTTTTCAAAGCTTAGTTTGACTTTTAAACTAGAAGTTAGTGAAGAAACTCAGGGTATCTAAGCTAGTTTTTAATGTTGTCTTTTGGGAAAGTGCAAATAATTCTAATTGGAATAGCCAGAGATTATCCATGTAAAAAGAAGTAATAGACTGGGAATAGATAATGAGAAGGAAACAAAAATTAACTTTTTAGGCATCCTGGAGCTAATCCTACAGAGATTAGTTTTTGTAATTACTGAACCATGGAAGCTATACCTAAAAATAACTCTCATGGGATAAACTCATTCTATATGACCAAATGAGCCACTTCATTCTCTTTCTTTTGTGCCAACTGGCATGTGCAGAATAACTGAAAATCTTCGCCCTATGTACTCTGGGAATCACTCACATTAGCATAAGTGATAAATTCATTCTTAGGTGAGTGAATCTCAGTGAGTCATAAGAGAATTTTAAGGGTCTGGACCAGGTCTCGCTGAAACAAGTGCCTCAGTTCCAAGTAATTCAGTGGTGCAAAGTCAATCAGGAGGACAAAAAAAAAGGAAAATAGTAAAGGAAATATAACTTATTTTAGAATTGTTGTTGTTTGAGTTTTAGCCACCTTTGCCACTGGTATTAAGGTAAACATAAGTGTATTGTATAAGCAGTTTCTTTTAGCTAAGAAAATTCAACACGGCTCAGCGGGACATTGTATTTCTTCTTTGAGGCACGCTTGATAAATCAGTTGCTGTGTGGAATAACTTTGTGGAACCATCCTCTCTTGGTGCTGCAAATAGCATAGGAATGTAACCATGTAAAGCTTTGGTACATCCTTTCAGTACGAGAAGGCGGGTGCCTAGTGGGAGGTTTTCTCAGCGTATATAACATTCTGTTTTCTATTGCAGGTGCATATATTTATGTAAAGAAATACAGTTTCATGTTTCACAGCTACAGAAATTAACTGTTAAATAATTATGCTGAGAATGCATGGACAGGTCTGGAAGTTCCTAAATGTGGTGATAAATATACCCTATTTCCCGTGTTTTTATTTATACAAAACATCTAAGATGGTTTAGCAAGAAGATTTCTGTTACACAATGTGAGTAGAAGTCTCAGAATGAGGTACTTTCCAGTTCTTTTTATTATATTATTTGATCTCTTCTTTTAATAATAGGTACACTGAAATTTTGATGACCTGTAAAATGCTCAGAATGTCATTGCTAACTCATCATCTGTTGACCAATGAATTGTTTCTACTTGATGGGGTAATTTTTAACTAGAAGCTGGGTATAAACTGCAAAACAATGGAACCGCCTTTTCCGTGTGAGCATTGCACAGATGTAATCCATATGGAAACTATCAGGTTATTCCTAATTGTTACATTCATGTTACTTATTTTTTTTTGCCACAGAATGCATTTGTTTTGGTGGTGTCTGTAACAGTTCTCTCATTTTCACTACAATATATGAATTAAATATAAGATTAAGACGTAAAGTCCGTAAGCCAAATTCTTGCTGCAGATTTATGATAGTACAAGTAAGAACAGTGTCTGTCCAATAAATCTGAATAGTTCTACTTGAGAGAAAAAATAGATTAACTGAATGTAGACTACAATTTTAATTTATATAAGGGGTTTTATTTGAAAACGGAATTATGTTCAATTAAGTTATGACTATGAGAGATACTGTAGGGCTAAATGAGCAGTGATGCTGAGGAAATGACAGATCTTCAGGTATTTATGGAGATGGAAGCCAGCATACATCAAATATTGTAATAGCTATCTCTTGTGTTCTGTCATAATCAGTGTATTTTAGATATGAAAGTAGAATTTGTTATACTCATGGTCCTGTTAATCAGGACTTCTGCTCTATCTTATTTAGGGAGTCTTATGGGAAGTGAAATGTTGTTTCTTCAACTGTGTCAGTCAAGGTTTCCGTAAAGTATTTCAGCCCTTGGTGGTGAAATGGGAGCATGAGAGCCTGCCCAGCAGCAGACATGGACTCCCAGCACAGAAGCACTGGGGAGCAAAAGAGTTTGCATGTTTCCAGCTGAAGCTCCTTCTATCTTACATGTTTATTTTTATTTTCTATTTCCTGTCCAAATTTTAAACCAAAATCATACAGGAAGTGGGTGTATGTTTATGTATTATTTTCTGGAGAAGCTATTCCATATATTTAAAAAGTTTTATTTTCCCCCCTTAGGGAATTCCTGGAATCCCTGGCAATCAAGGAGCAAAAGGACAAAAGGTACTAGTAATAGTTTGAAACACAGTTAAAACCTGAGCATATATATACCCATTCCAAAGTTAGAGTTCAGTCAGTGTTCAGAAGAGAGTTTTCATAGTGGGCATTTAGGACATCAATTCATGCTGTGAATGAATAGAGATATGCTCCAAATTCTTAGTGGGATGTTTGAAAATCTCTCATTAGGTTGTATTTCAACTGTTCTGCATAATTAAAGAACATTCAACCAATTAGTTAACTGTCCATACATTAATCACAGAATTCTTCTCTTTATGTAAAAATAAAGGGTGAAACTGGACCACCAGGTCAACCAGGAGCAAAAGGGTCAACAGGAGATACTGTAAGTTTGCAAAATGGTATTATTATGAGCAAATAATTCTGATGCTGTCATTCTCTACTTGTAATAAACAAACAAGCAATGGCAAATACAGTAGCAAACTAGCATTTTCAGGTTGGCAAATATGTTCAGACTAAGTGTGATCTCTGAATTCCTCATAAAATATTATATACTCGAATTTTTTTTTTAAATTAGTGATCAGCTGACTGACCATTTGATAAAAAAATCCAGCAAACACATTATTCTAAATTTATGCTCTGAATTAATTAACTTTGAAAGTACTCAAATATGTTTATTTTGAAATTTAAGACTGACAAATATTGCTATGGTGTGCAATCGATTTCTGAAGATTAATTTCAAGCTACTTTTTTTTCTAGTGCTGTTTTGACAAAGATTGTGAGAATAACACATCACTGGGTTCCCAAGCTACTGAGAGAGATTTCTATTTTTGGAATGTAGGAAACTGAAAATAATTCTTTTTGAGCAGTCCAGCTTACCCCATCTTCGTTACTGTCTGAGTAGGGTGATGTCCATGTCCTTTATATTCCTTGGCATATACAGATGTTTTAATGTGTGACAACAGTGGGAAGAAGATCTCTGGCTTTATTCTTGCCATGTCGGCTCATCCTGAGATTCTCTATATGTTGTGCATAGAGCAGGAGGCTATTGCATGCCCAGCCTAAATAGAAGAAACTTCATTTTCTCAGGAAGCCAAGAAAGCAGTTCAGTGAAAATATTTAGTTGGGAATTTTCAGCATTTCTGTAGTGTTTTTAATGGGATAAATATGCTACAGGGGTTTACTGCTACTTTAGCATTTACAAAATGCATTCGAAGGTAAATAATCACTGAGTTAAACTCTGTCCTTGATTTTGATTTTGATAACAAGAGTGATCAGGTTTCTAACATCTGAACTGAGAAGGAGTATCAGATTCTTATAAATACTATGATAGTATTGCTTTGATAAATAAGAGACTAACAGATAAGCACTTTGTACAAAATCACATGGAATTAAAAGACTTTTTCAGCCACATAAAGATCTCTGGAAAGAACAAATTTTCTTGACAACCAGTTATTGCAGTTGTTTAGATCAAGTTTGGATGACACATTGCCTGAAGTAGAAATGCACCTATTGCTGGTTAATACATGCACACTTCATCTCTCACCTGTGCCTCTAATAATTTTTACTGCCTATTTCTGGATTTTTTTTCTTCATTTCTTTCTGAGAAAAGTTGAACAAAATGCCAGAGTGAAGGCTGTATCATCAGCTGTAATAAAGCCTTGTTGGATTCCAAAGCATATATATTTATTCAAGTAACTCACCTACCCTGTTTTCTTCAAATTTTATTTAGGTAAATAACATCTGGTTCTTGATACACTTGAAAATAATTTATTCTTTTTCCTGTTGACTCATTTAATATATCTTCTGTCACCTGATAAAATAAGTAGGAAATTGATGCATGGAATATTTGAATGTTATATGACATTAGGGAATTTCAACCAGAAAAGATAGTGGGATTTTCCTTTTATTAGTCACAATGAATATGTTTGTTCCAGAAAAAACAGATGGAAAGCTTGTGGATGGTCTATTAATACCTTGGGAAAATTCTTCAGTAACAAATTTTTCTTCTGTAATAACTATCCTTATTACATGGCCAACATCAGTAATTTATTAATTTATCTGCCACATAAATAGTGTCAGCTCTGGAAAATGAAGGAGTAATGCTACATTTTATGTCCTCAAATTGTTCTTGATTTATATTCCGAACATGCTGTTTTCTTAAAATTTTATATGCCATAATTTTCAGATTATGTTCTCAAAGTTTTCCTATATTGCATTTGAAAGTTTTCTTCTTGGAGTGTACTGATTTCATGTAGTTGTCTTCCTGTAATTTTGAAAATTAAATGCATTTAAATATGTCATAGTAATGAAAGTGAAAGAAAGGCAGCCAGGACAACTGAGTTTTCTTTCTCCCTTTCCTCCAGATGTATGCCTGAACTTTAGTTATACAAAATGTATTTTCTGATGTGCCTTCTCTAATATATGTTTGCAGGTCAATGTAGATGTATACACATATCTGGTTTATAAAAAAGAGCTATTCTGCACACATAGTATTCCCACTTTGTATAAGATATAAAGACTGAGGAAAACCAGCAGCAAACTTACTCCAGTTTTAGTCTTGTGATCGATACAGTTTATTTGTGTTCATAGACCTGTTTCTGTGGCCCGAAGAGCAAGTTGCTGTGGTATTGATGGAAAGTTATGGTGACCAGTACTTTCTTACAGCAAATCAGGAAAGAAACCTGAGTTAACCTTTGCTGCCTCATTTAAGAGTAATAGGTGGAATACTAGAAAATTGATGAAAACCCTGGTGACAAAGAATTCCTTTGTGTCCCAAATATTCTGAATTTTCTCTTGTATTTGCAAACACAAAGCCATTCTTTTAGTTTTATGAAAAAAAGTTAATGATTTATTTATTTTTTTGACAAAACTGAGCTACAATGTGTGTAACAGTTTCCTGTAGGCGTACATTGATTTTTGATGACATGTAACTTTTGAAGGAGGTTTGAGATAGTATCATGGAACTGAATAAATCCTAACATTAGTACTAAGTGGAAGGTGGTTGTTTTTATCATATGAAAACAAACATTAGCTAACAACAATAACAGTAGTTTTTGAAAATACTACAAATTAGAAAAATTGACAAAAATCAACCTGTGACAAGTTTTATTTTCAGTTCTTATTTAATTGTTTGACTTTCTGTATTATTATGCTTTTATTTTATGCTGTGTCTTAAGTACACTCTTATAGTAGACCATATTTCAGAGTATATATGCAAGTCCAAATAATAATATATTATTTTTATTGAAGCATGCAGTTCTAGAGTCAAAGAGAAGTGAGATGAAGTGGTGAGAAAGACATATTAACACCAGATGTGGAGAATACTATAAAGGGGAATTCCTTAATGGAAAATCAGTTTTTTTTAAAAAAGATTTCTTTTCTAGTGTATACTTGAGAATAGCTTTAAACAGAAGTTAAGAAAGCCAGCCATTTGATGTTTTAACACCCTTTAGCTCTTATTTTATGTATGCAACAAAGGCAGCTAAACATGTCTTTATCAACATGTTTCCATGAAAGGAGTCCAAGGAAATGTTTTGGCAATGTTCTGGCTTTATACATGTGCTGAAGTGTCATGATTTGAAATAGCAGAAGCTACTGGGTTCTTGAATGAGCAGTTAAATCCTGAAGATTCTGCAGATGATGCAAAGGTGCAGCTCCAAAGTTACTGCTCCCCATAAATCTTCACAAAGGTTGCAAAAAGATTCAAGGCATGGCAACCTTAGAGGGACCCACAGTCAGAAAAAAGGAAGAGAATTATGAAATGCCACATGTACTCTTGCTCATTTTGGGAACCATAAATGGAAACCAAGAACCTCTTGCATTGCTTTCACTTATGCCAAGGGACATGTTACAGATATGTTAAAAATTAGATCACACAGCTGGGATTTTGGGTTGCAGAATTTTTTCTCTTGGGAGTATTTCATGATAGTGTGGTGCTTTTTTTCCTGCATCTTATTTCCATTGCACAGTAGCCCTTCCTTAGGTCATAGAAGGTCTAAATAATCCACTGTCATATCAGAGGTACAGCCTGTATAGTAATATGATGAAAGACATATTTCCTGTCCTACTTATTTTACTTTAGAAATATAATACTAATACTACTAATACTAACACACTATACTGAAGCCATTGGTCCTCTAGTTTAGTACAGAAACGTTTCTGCCTTTTTCACAAATAAATAGGGTTTAATGGGACCAGAAGGTTCATTTGGTCTACCTGGATCTCCTGGACCTAAGGTAAGTGTTTATTGGCTTGTCAGTTTGATAAATTACTGCTTTATAGATGTCAAAATGCCAAGATTTTGCAGCTAATTTTTTTTGGTATTTTGAATATTGGTGAGTAGCTGTATGATTTTCCCTGTATTACCTTATAGGATAGTTCAGTCTCAAGAGACCTTAATATAGCTCAGTAAATGGTGCTTGTCATCCAATGAGGTTTGGAACAATTGCAGAAATAGTCATGGGACTTCACAGCAGCTTTGCAGTCCTGGAAGATGTTCTGCAATGCTGGGAGCCAGATAATTCTCAGTATACATTGGAACATTTAGTTATATTTTAATTAAGTTAAATAATAACATTAAGTGCTGCTTTTTCCACCTGAGGAGCCAAATTTATTTCAGATGTAACTTTATTGATTTCACTGCAGCTACAGCAAGAATTAATTTGACCCATGCTCTCAGAAACTGAAATAGTAAATCCAAGATCTGTTGGAGTTACCTTTTAATTTAATCCAAGATGAGCTTTGGCCAGTAAGCACTGAATTGTATGTCCTGGGAAATATTTAGAAATACACAATCAATTTCCCAAACTTTGTATTACATTTAGTTCCATTTCCACCCATACATTATTATTTAAATACTGCATATAAACATTATTTAAAACTATATACTGAAGGTAACATTTTTTAAAGTGGTCAGTGTTTGCTATAGTCAAGATGATTGATACCTGAAAGTAATTAGCTTAATTTTAATTTTTGAAAAAATGCTTTTGTTTCATATCTTTATCTCTTATTGAAAATATAAGCTGATTCTTCTCAATTATTCTTAATAAGCTCATTCCTACAGAAGAGCATCACAGAGTACTCAATACTTAGATTTTAATGAAAATCCTCATGCTGAATATATGCCTTATTCCATAGGCTACAATAAAAAACAAAACATAAATAAATATCTTGGCTCAGACAGGTCTGAAGCTTCTCAGAGTTGTTTTAAATAAGATGGTGGAAATGAGAAGACAGTACACACAACCATGGTATGACTGAGCAAGGGAAACTAGGCAGGTGAAGAAGAGATGTGTGAGAAGAGGCTGGCAGATCCCATTTTGCCTTCAGTATTTCATCTTTCCTGAGAGGAAGTTGAGACTTCAGGCTTCCTGTAAGGTATCAGAACTTTAGCCTTTCAGTCACTACCTGTGCCTATATTTATGAGCCAGTTTCACAATTGTGTCTGTTTATCTTTGCTACCACATGTGACAAAACACACTGATATATCTGCCACACTCTTGTATTGTTCTATAGGGTGATAAAGGTGAACCTGGAATACAGGGGAAACCAGGATCATCAGGAGCCAAGGTAAATATTAATCTGGAAGTATTCTAGTTAAGGAAAGGATTAATTTACTTTTCCATGATTAACTGATTTTCCATGATTAGTCATAAGGCAGCTTGTTTTGAAAGAAAATGTTAGTTAACATCAGAATCCATTTGATGGCTTATTCTTACTAATTTTATACTAGAATTTAGGCAATGTAGGTCAGCTGTCCATGAAGTTCAAACCTGCAAAAGTTGCCATTACTTCAGATAGTTTTCTTTCTTTAATTTTGAAAAATCAGCATAAACTGTATTAAAAGGCAGTTTTAAAATATAGATACTGGAAAACTGAGTTTTAAGAATTGTAGCTTCTGTGTATTCATTATCCTTTCACAAATTCTCCTGACATTTCAATCATCCTCCGTTATAAAATTTCAAAATATCATAGCCAAAGGATATCATGTGACCCCAAGAAAACATTCAGTGTGTGTTTTTACACACAGCTTATCAGTGACACAGTGCTCTTGTATAACTCAGGGAGAACGAGGAGTACCAGGCACTCCAGGTGAACCAGGCTACCCAGGCATCCCAGGTATCCAGGGCATAAAGGTAATTATTTATTCCAGTTTTACTTGAATTGTGTCTTTTATTGGAAATACTTTGTTGTAAGTGATCATTATTTAAGGAAAGAATTTCTCTAAAACATCATTATTATTAGAGAATAGATGGTATATTTTGGAAGGCCCCTTCTTTAGAGAAACAATATTTTTTCTTAGGCAGGAGAGACTGGTGAAAATGGAGAAACTATTAACATAAAATGCTATTACATAGTTATTAATGGAATTTCCATTATGAATTATAATATACGATTGTATGATTCTGTATTTGCTTATTCTTGTATCTTATAACAAGTGCTACATCTATAAAAGTATTTTCTGGACCTCCCATAGAAATGGAAAATTTAAGCCTAGGCAGCTGGGAGAGATTCAGCTCAGTCAGCCTTAGCCATTAAGAGTTACCTGATGTAACCAAGCTGTCTGGCTTCTCTCTGTATTTAGCTCACAGAGTCTGAGCTCCTTGGGGAGTAATAAATTTGCATCTATACACCTTTCTTTGACTATAGCTGAAGCCTAGACAGTTAGCTAAATTGAAAGTTGAAATTTTAGTTGGCCAAAGTTACATTAGATGGATTCTACTTCTATTGTCCAGGTTGAAAATTATTTCTTATTTTCAGACTGGAACTTACGTGTATTTGTCTTGCATGCTGAGTGCTCATAAAGATCATGCCTTCAAGGATCTCACCATCTCTTGATGCAGCCTTATATCTATCAAACACTGCTATAGATGTGGTTATTCTGACATTCTTCATTGCTGAAGAACCTTTTGTGTGAACTCATTGTAAAATTTCATATTGATGTTTGACTTATCTGGATAGTCAGCCTTATTTTTAAAGTATAGCTATGTAGGGTTTTCTGGCAATCACAGGTCTTTAAGGAGTCCCAGATTGAAAAAAATTACAGGCAAGGCTGTTCTTTGGTATGTTTTGAAATTCAAGCACAAAGCTTTTTGCCTAACTTAAAGCTGTGATTAACATTACATTAAATGCTTTCCTAGAGACTTCATTCTGTAAGATGTCAGCATTCTTTAAAAAATCTCCTATGTGATTGAAACCTCTCAGTTTTGCCTCAGCCAATAAGGCAGAGCTTGTTGTTTGACTGGAAGCTGGAAAGACCCTAGATATTTGTTGGTTTTTTTTAATACTGACTTTACTTGTCTTACTATAAATCATAGAACTCACTAGAGTGTAAACAGGACCTCTTGAGGAAAAATCAGCCATGCTTTGTCTGTAGAATGAAGTTGCTCAAAGCCCCATCCAACCTAGCCAACCAACACTTCCAGGGAGGAGGCATCCACAGCTTCTCTAACCATCCTCACAGGAAATTATTTCTTCCTCATATCTAGTCTAAATTTACCCTCTTTCAGTTTGAAACTGTTCCCTCTCATCCCATCACTACATTCCCTTGTAAAAAGTCCCTTCCCAGCTTTCTTGTAGACCTCTTTAGGTACTAGAAGGCTGCTACAAGGTCTCCAGGCTGAGCAACCCCAGCTCTTTCAGCCTGTCTTCATAACAGAGGTGCTCCAGCCCTCTGATCATCTTCATGGCCCTCCTCTGGACTCACTCCAACAGCTCCCTGTCCTTCTTGTGTTGAGGGTCCCAGAGCTGAACACAGTACTGAAGTGTGTTTAGGGAATGTATCTGACACTTGTGTTAGAAATCTAATGATGATTCCTAGGAAATACTGGAGTCTCAACTAGGGCAAAGAGTTCTCCGTTACATATTCAAATTACAGATTTCAGAATAAACAGGAAATAATGGAAAAGCAAATGAAGCTTAGTTAATGTGTCAGACAGAAATAAGCAGCTAGTGAAAAATTATAATACATCTGTGTAGTATTACCAGCAATGTAGAGCACTGCCTTTTGAAGGATGAAGCCCTTGGTATAAAGACATTACAGAAATAGAGTTGAACCAGGTACTTCATTGTGGAAGGATGGGTAAAGAAACAGTAAGTTAGAAAGGTGCTGTTATATCTAAAATTTTATGAAAATCCCATGCAAGACTTCAGCTTCTACTCCAGAAGGGCACAAGTTTCCTGTATGTCCAGTGTCATATATGCTGGCCATGTATGGATGTCCTAGTATGCTGGGTATTTCAGATGTCAGTAGACACATATGGGGATGCCTTGGGTTGCCTAAAGCATCTTAAATGCCTAGATGCTTAGACAATGGAAGCAAGTCCCGGGTGAATGGAGGCTAGAGAATGGTCCAAATTTAGATTAAGTTATATCGGCTAAATAAGATAATTGAACCAATACAAGATGTAGAAAAATTAGCCTTTTGACCAGTTTCAATACAGTGGTTTTCAGAGGAGATAAGGACAAAGTTCTCCTGGCTTAAGTGTTTCAAAATGTACTGATGCCCAATGGAAGAGTCAACTTGAATTGAGTCAGAGTAATAACAATATTTCAGTTAATTTCATTATCACAGTGTACCCCCCATTTCAATATCATATGGTCATATAAGGTGCATGTGCCAAGACAGTAATAATGTTTATAAGGGACGTTTTATTGTTTGTGGAACCTCTAAATTTTAAACAGAAGAAGGTTTTGCAAAAGTGATTATCTATTTTATAGAAATGATGCAAATCAGAATATATATTCCTGGTTAACTGCAGTTACAAGTAATACATATGACAAGCTCTTGAATTATTTGGGAGAAAAGTGCATTTTGGGCATCTGTCAGTAAAAGTGAAGCCTTTCAGCTATAGCTTATTTTAAAACTTGAAACCAAACCAAATATTTTACATTCAAGTACAATGCAACCAAATACAGCTGGCATAAATACCCTCTTACGTTCTGGGGTTTTCAATCAGGAACATATTTGCCTGTTCAAAACCTCCTCTTTACTTCTGCTTAGTGTTTAACTAAACATTCTCTCTTTCAAAAAAATCCCAAACACATACATTTGGCTCTTACAAGAAAACTGGTAAAACAGATCAAAAAAACTTCATCCTATTTATTTTCTCTTTTAAATGCAGGTTATTTTTCATTTAATTTTTTTTTTTTTTATGCGTTGTGCAAAACTTCTGCATTCAATGGGTTTATAGTAAATGTTACAGAAATTATTTTTATTTTCTGTGGGTGAAAGTATCTGTATTTAGTGATTAGCATTCAGATGAAATTTAACCCATTTGAAATACTGCTCCCCCTCTCTGCCTACATCCTCTGCAGTCCCATACACTGTGTGGATAAAATTCTGCTGGATTTGCAACCTCAATATGTTGTATTTTTTTATTTTAATTTGGTACATGAGTATACACTTTTCTTTTTGATAGTTCTTTCTATGACAGATTCCCTTCTTAATACAACTTTCTGTACTTCTTTCAATGACTGTGTACATGTGGATAAAGTGATTTGTTTTCATTCAGTCTAAGTAAAAGCTGTTATTTTACTGTGTTAAATTAAAACAGACTACATGTCTTTGAGATGAATCTTGCAATGAAGACTTTTCTTCTAATATTTTACAGGGGGATAAAGGAAATCAAGGTGAAACTGGCATCCAGGTATGTCAACTGCAGCACTATTCATACAAGGTTTAGGTGTTAATTCAGGAGCTTTTTTTGATATTAACCTCCACAGAAGGTTTGCTTGCAGAATCGCAGCACTGAGCCCTAGTGTTTCTTCAAGGCAAATTGCCCAGTTTGTCCAGTATGCATTTCCAGCTGTGTTTCTGGGGCAGAACAGCTATTGACATTTGTTGCAGAGCTCTGTGGTCGTAGCAATGGTGTGGGCTCAGAAACGTGGATTGTGCTACTGTCACAGGGGCCTGGGCCATGAGCCAGCACACTCCCAGGATGGGTTCTGTCCCTGCATGTCCCAGGCACTGTGGGATCACATAAATGCTCATTAAAATAATATCACCTGGCCTCTGTCTGCCTACTGTATCATAACGAGTAGGCTTATCCTCCTGGTTATCTAAAAGTCATGGGAATACCTATAAGGAAAAGGAGAGTATCATGTCACTACTCAGATCCTAACTTGGCTCCGCTGTGTTTGAAGTAGAAATTGTATTCTGCATCATTTTTGCTCTGAACTCTTGAAGACTAACTTTGCAAATTGATTAGGCCTGGCTCAGGATGAGATTTTAGGGTTTACATCTTTGTCTTATTTTTGATAGCTTCATTATATCTGCCAGATAAATGTATGTTTTAAGAAATATACATTTTTTAAGAAAATCTGTTTCTTTTATGAAGGGACTGAAAGGAGAAAAAGGAAGACAAGGAAATCCAGGCTTACAGGTACTGTTAGAATGGTGAGCCTAGTTCAAGAGAGCCATGATTCATATTTGTTTCTTAGGATTGCTTCCACCAACTTGGATAGTTCTTTGTATCAGGTGAAATATATTAATGTATGACATGATTACATAGTTATATAAATTACCTTTTATAAAATCTTAGTGATTTTAAAATAACAGGTACAACACATATAGAGAAGAAGGAGCCACAATTTTCTTGGCTCTGCACAGTGGAAGGATGAGAGGAAATGGGCATAAGCTGGAATGCAGGAAATCCCAACTTGACAAAGCATTTTGCTTTGAGGGTGGTTAAACACTGGAACCAGCAATTCTCAGTGACTGGGGCAAAACCTGTCTGGAGAGGGCATGGAGCAGCCTGCTGTGGCTGGATCTGTTCCAAAAAGGAAGTTGAACCCATGGAAGTTCCTTCCAACCTACATATTTTTGTAGTTCTGGGGTATTAATGTTTTGAGAAACAGACCAGACATTTGTTTTTCTGGATTATTTTATTAAATACTTACTTACGGAAATTTTCCATGAAACAATTATAAATAACAAAAAGTGCAGATAACAACATGAAGTGGCTTTTGTGTAAAGGTTGTAAGGGTGATGCTTGAGATGCTGAGATTTTGCATGTACCATGCTACAGTTTTATGTAGTACATAACCTCCTGGACTATACTGGGAGTCATTATTGACATCTTCTCTGCTCGTAAATTACAGATGTTTCCTGTTTCAGCTGCAAATCAATGAGATCCAGTTGTTTCTCTTGAGCCGTGGGCCAATGTATTCTGATTGTGTCATAGTTGGCTATCTTGTTACACCACAGAAAATAACTGTTAGTATTTATAAATACTTGTTAACTACATAATCTATGTCGTGTCTAAACAGAGAAGTATTTGTTAAAAGTATATATCTAAAACTAGACTTGGAAGGAAATCACAGTTACTTTTTTGAGAATTACGGCACTGATACAGCTGCCTGTCTAGCCAGAAGGAGCTGATTCCCGTGGAGCATGGGCAGGAGATCTGGATTGTATGTTTGCCTAGTTTTATTACTCTCAGGCATATGTAGGTTGACCAGAGTCTGGCAATAAAGCTGAGCAGATATTTTTGAAAATAAATAGCTTAAACTAAAAGCCTGATCGTTCGTTTTAACCAAATGTAGTGCCCAACTCTAACATTTTGCAGGTTAAATTTTCTAGTCTTTCATTTTGCAAATAATGGGCATGTGTTGTTTTAATAATAAAATAAACCAAAATGAGTGTGAAAGAAAATGTTTGGTTTGGTGTTGTTTTGTGTTGGTTTTTGTTTGTTTGTTTGTTTGTTTTTTCAGAAAGAGTAATGTAATTGAATGGCTGTTTTTTTTTTTCTTTTTTTTTTGAGAAAGCTGAAAAAATAATACAGACTTGGTCTAAAATTGTTTCCCGGGCTTATCTAGTTTGATCAGCAACCAAAAAAATCAGTCATTCACTTACTTCTGGCAGACAGTGCTAGGTCCTTCCACGGTTTCTCAAGGCTCCAGGACTTCTCAAAGATATAGTGCAGCTTGCCTCATTTGTAAAAGTGAACATCAGAAAAATGGAAGGGTCTGCACTGAGCAACCATCTTGCCATGGAACTTAGTGATCTGTAACACCATTGAGCCAGTTGGCAGAAATGACATCAAAACTATTTGCCAAAGCAAACTTACCATTTGCAAAATCTGGCTTACAAGTCAAGTTTGTATTTCAAAGGCTCTGAACTTGATTTCTGTGTAGTGAGACAGTAATCAGGCATTTCCTTTTGCTAGAACACATATTGAATGAATAAGGTTTTGTCTATATTTATATATTATGTCTATATGTGTATAATATGTATGATATATTCCCAAGTTATCCTTTTGCTATGGGATATTAAAGGTGTAAGTGTTAATGCACCATGATATTAATTTTTCATCATTATATGCAATTTGGATTTTTTGTATGAATAGCCATCACAGCATCTTTAAAACCTGACGTGATTAGTTATTGAAAACAAAGGACAAAAACTTTATTTTTTATTCCAAGTGGTTTGTCTCAGCTTGTTTTTAACTTTTTTTTTTTTTTAAATATGAATTCCTAAAGGGAGTAGAAGGATTGAGTGGACAACGAGGAGAGGTAAGTATTTTGTAATGACAAATACAGTACTACAAAATTATTGGATGTGTTTCTGCAAATTATGTGGTTTGTAACGTATGCATTCACAGTCTTATTTCTGTACTCACATCTCTCTAAGCAACAGAGGTAAATCAGTTGAGAAATATCATAGAAGAGAAAGAAGAATTAGTTTGAAAGATATGTAGCAAAAGATATATTTCATGAAATGAAAGATTAAAATGAATTAACCCAAATATATACTTCAAGAGTGTTACAATAAGCAATCAACCAAACTGAGAAGGTGTTGAAGATAGGAAGCAATTAAACAAAAGAAAATCTAGGGCTTCTACCCTCATTGAAAAATGAAAATATAGTTCATAAAAGAATACAGAATATGTGATGAAAATGACACATTTGTTCAGCAG